TGTATCAGAAAGGTTCTGATGATCCTGAAGAACAGAACCTGACCTGACCAGCAGAACCAGGATGAATGACGACCCACTGCAGACTGGAGACATCAGTCTGACTCTGGAACGTCCCTCAGCTGCAGACAGCGGGATCTACAGCTGCAGAGTCAGGAAACGAGTCGTCTTGGTGATGAAACGGGTTCATCTCCAGGTCAAAGGTCAGTGGTTAAATGTTGCATTCTTCCAATCAGGTGATTGGTGGTGATCAATAGTGATGATTGACTGATCAGAAGGTCAATTTGATGTAATGAGTGAAGATGAGGAAGCAGATCAGGAGGTTCAGGACAGACAGGGACCTGAAGAAGCAGCTGGAGGCTTTGACTAGGACAGTGCCCCCTGCTGGAGATACCAGTTAGTGTTCAGAACCACCAGACGGGTCAGAACCATCAGAACTGAAGTTCCTGCAGCCTGGAAGCAGCAAACATGTTGTGAATGAGGATGCAGGTGGACATGGATTTTATTTTTATTTAAAATAAGTTTTTCCAACATTTTGAAATTTAGTCTTATTCTTCTTTGATAAAAATTCTCCAGCAGCAGAAAACAGCTGCTCACTCGGCCCAGATGAGGCTGGAGAGCAAAGAGACTGTAAAGAAAAGAGGAAGAGGCTTTGATAGATGGTATTTGGTTGTTCCAGTAACTCAGAGGATCCAGAGTCTTGGTCTTATCGTCTCTGGCAGGAATCGCTGCTCCTCCTGGACATCAGGAGGAACTTTTGGTCTGAGAAAGAAAGACTCATAATAAAACTTGTAATCCCATGTAGATAAAGTCAAACAAGGCTCAACTATACTGACAATAAAACATGTCAAAAGTTGTTAAACTTATGACAATATTCACATGTATGATGTATTTCCATTGTTATACAACTGAGATACTCATTTTGACAGACAAAAGCATAGAATATGTTGGACGGGCTTTGATCAGAAGCAAAACTTTGAGTCATAAACAAAAACGTAGAATAGCAAGAAAAGATTTCCGACATGTGCAAATAAGTCTGTTTTGCAAATAATCTTTTCACTTCATGAGACAAAAATGTGTGATTTTAATTTTTTAAAAAGTTTTTTTTTAAGCAAAACTCAGTAGGCTTTTCTCATGGCTACATGCATTAACAATTAAATTTTTGCTTTTATTTATTTATTTTCGTTTTTCTGCAGTTCCACGTTAAAGTTTGATGCAGCTCTGCTTTCCTGAATGGACCATCTTCATCTCCACTGCAAGTGTAGCAAACAGGCAGCTCTTTTTTATAGATTACAGTTCACTAAAAGGTTGCATTGTGCCCTTGTTTATATTTTTAATAGTGTAATTCTGTAAAGACAAAATATGTCTGGTGGTCTAGCTCTGATTTACATGTCCTGCTAAATTGCGGGTTTGAATATGGCAATACTTTCTTACAACAAAATAGACCTGTAGAAAGAAATGACTAATAAAATATCTTACATATGCATAGTTGTATGCTCTATGTAGAGATTTTCCTTAGCTTTGATTATATATCTCACAATTTTGTAATTTATCATTGTTTATTAAACTATGAAAGCTGAGGGGTTTTGTTAATATTCTGTCCTAGAATGCGGTTAGATGTGCCCTTTTTTTTGAGCACCTGCCCCTTTAGTGGTCTCTGCACGGCCCTGCTGTATCGTAAAAGATCAAGAATTATTTTGTCAAATGCATTTGACAGATTGACAGATTCACTTCCTTCACACAGTTTGGCGCTTTAATGTCATTTCGAAACAGTTCCTGTATCGGTCACGTGATTTGCTGAAACCAATATGCACACCGACACGGGTTTTGGTCTATGGGCTTGATGCAGGCGCCGACGCGTCGGTGTTGCCGGAGCCATCATTAGTTTCTGTATTTCAATATAAAGTGACATTAAGGAGTTGGCTAGAATTTTAATGTTCCATCTACATGTTCTCAAATTGACAACCAAATAACTGTTACCTGGTCAAAGCATCATGTAGTGATTTTGCTTTTTCTCCATTAATGGATCTTTGCAAACTCTGTACAGGATGTCATCGTGAATCTTCAGTTTTTCCCAGTTTTAGTTTTTTTAGCCTTTAGAGCTGACCCAAGTCTGTTTCGTCTTGATCGTCGTCTCCCTTAGATGATGAATGGGTGACTTGGGTTTGGACAGCATCATTTCTCTATTAAGAAGCTCTTGAAGTAAAAAAACAGGCAGAGGTTCTTCACCTGGCTGGACTGACTGCTCCAAATCCTGGACCAGCATGAAACCATGAATCTCTGCTTTGGACCTTCATCCCAATATNAATTATTGAATTATGTTACATTCATAGAAGGTCATGAAGAAGAACCAAACTGGCCACTTTATTAGTCCAGTTACTTGTTAGAATATTGCAAAATGTTTTTATTTGTTTGTTTCTCTTTCTTTCTTCAGATATTGTTGGTCTGTATCAGCCTGACCTTAAAGCGTCTCTGAAGATGAAGTTCCAGAGTCTCTCTGAAGGCGTCGCTGAACCTGGAAATCAAACCTTTCTGAACCAGATCTACATAGAGCTCCACATCACAGAGGGGTTAACTAGAGAGGTCAACCAGGAACATGAAGTTAGATGCATTGAAACAACATCCAGGAAACAAGAAACAACAATCAGAAGAGAAGACATCTTTAAAGTCCCACATGAAAGAGATCAACCAATCAGAACAGTGATGACAAAGGGAGTGGCTGGCATTGGGAAAACAGTCTTAACACAGAAGTTCACTCTGGACTGGGCTGAAGACAAAACCAACCAGAACATCCAGTTTATATTTCCATTCACTTTCAGAGAGCTGAATGTGCTGAAAGAAGAAAAGTTCAGCTTATTAGGACTGATTCATAAATTATTTTCTAAAACCAAAGGAATCTACAGCTTTGAAATGTTCCAGGTTCTGTTCATCTTTGATGGTCTGGATGAGAGTCGACTTCCTCTGGACTTCAAGAACAAGGAGATCCTGACTGATGCTACAGAGTCCAGCTCACTGAATGTTCTGCTGACAAACCTCATCAGGGGGAAACTGCTTCCCTCTGCTCTCCTCTGGATAACCACACGACCTGCAGCAGCCAATCAGATCCCTGCTGAGTGTGTTGACATGGTAACAGAGGTCAGAGGGTTCACTGACCCCCAGAAGGAGGAGTACTTCAGGAAGAGATTCAGAGATGATGAAGAGAAGGCCAGCAGGATCATCTCCCACATCCAGAAATCAAAAAGTCTCCACATCATGTGTCACATCCCAGTTTTCTGCTGGATCACTGCCAATGTTCTGGAGGATGTGATGAAGACCAGAGAGGGAGGAGAGCTGCCCAAGACCCTGACTGAGATGTACATAGAGTTCCTGGAGGTTCAGTTCAAAATCAAGGAGGAAAAGTTTGATGGACGACGAAAGACAAAATCTATCTGGAGTCCAGAGAACAAGAAGCTGATTGAGTCTCTAGGAAGACTGGCTTTAGATCAGCTGCTGGAGGGAAACATGATCTTCTATGACAAAGACCTGAAACGGTGCGGCATCGACATCAAAGATGCTGCGTTGTACTCAGGAGTTTTCACTGAGATGTTTAAAAAGGAAAGAGGCATGGGCAACATCTCCGTCTACTCCTTTGTTCATCTGAGCATCCAGGAGTTTCTGGCTGCAGTCTACATGTTCCACTGCTTCACCAGCAAGAGGTCAGAGGTCATCAAGACGTTCCTCGGAGGAAAATACAATGAAACATCTCTAGATGAGTTCATGAAGAAAGTCATGAAGAAATCCCTCAGCAGTAAAAATGGCCACCTGGATCTGTTTGTCCGTTTCCTTCATGGTCTCACTCTGGAGTCCAACCAGAGTCTGTTAGGAGGCCTGCTGGGTCGGACAGAGATCAGTCCAGAAACCATCCAGAGAATCATCAACAATCTGAAGAAGATGAACTCTGATGAAATCTCTCCTGACAGAAGCATCAACATCTTCCACTGTCTGGTGGAGATGAACGACCTCTCAGTGTTTCAGGAGATCCAGCAGCTCCTGGAATCAGGGAAGAAGCTCTCAGAGATCCAGTGTTCAGCTCTGGCCTTCATGCTGCAGATGTCAGAGGTTCTGGATGAGTTGGACCTGGAGAAGTACAACACATCAGAATCAGGACGACAGA